CAGAGAGATTTTATTATACTGATTTAGAGATTTACAATTATGTCATCCGACTAAGAACCATAGCTGTCTATTTATAAGCACCCCAAAACACCCTAAACCCTAAGCCTATTTGTTATTAATTAGAATAAGCTCAAAAGGAACCCTGCCAATTGAAACAGCCCTTTCGCTTTGGTTTCGAGTCGGGTAGACCGCTAAATCCAAGTCACGTTTCAACAATCTCCACCTTGACTTGGAGTTTCTCCAACCGCCAAAGGTAGTATCTCTCAGTCGTCTCCTTCTTGCCAGATGCCCCGAGAGGGCTTTACCTCCTACGAATATTCACCAAGTTCAAGCAGTGCTCAAACTTCTCCGTCGGTAGCGCCTTTGTCAATATATCAGCTAGATTGTGTTCTGTAGGTATTTTCTGAATAAAAAACTTATCTTCCTTCAGAACATCACGGATAAAATTCAACCTTACATCAATATGTTTGGTTCTCTCATGATACACTGGATTTTTAGTCAAACTCAAAGCACTTTGACTATCACAGAATAACACCGGTTTCTCCACCTTCATACCCAAACTCTGCACCAGACCATGTAACCAGATACACTCCTTAATACCTTCAGTCATTGACATGTATTCTGCCTCAGTCGTCGACAGTGCAACCGTAAGTTGTAAAGTAGACTTCTAACTGACTGCACATCCAAACAGAGTGAAGATAAAACAAGTCAGTGATCTTCGTTTCACCAAGTCACCCCCGTAATCAGAGTCTGCATAGCCAACAAGACCATCACCATGGCCTTTATAATCATATACCAGACACGCTCCTTTCAAATATCGCAAGATCCACTTTACAGCTCCCCGGTGAGCTTTACCCGGATTAGCCATAAACCTGCTCACCACACTAACCGCATAAGCGAGATCCGGTCTCGTACATACTATCGCATACATAAGACTTCCAACTGCATTTGAATATGGAACCGTCTTTATGTAACTAACCTCTTCATCTGTAGTCGGTATAGTGCTTCGATCAAGTTTAAAGTGTTCCGCCAAAAGGGTACTTACCGGTTTGGACTGATCAACAGAGAATGCCTGCAAAACTTTATCAATATACTTTTCTTGAGAAACCCATAGCCGTCTTGCTTCTCTATCATGCCAGATCTCCATACCAAGTATTTTCTTTGCCGCACCCAAATTCATCTCAAACTCACCCTTTAGTAGAGCCTTCAAGTCATTAATTACATCCATGTTCTTAGCTGCAATTAACATATCATCCACATACAACAGCAGATACACAAAGGAATCAGTAGAAACTTTCTTCGAGTAAACACAATTATCAAACTGATTACGAGTATAACCATTAGACACCATGAATGAGTCAAATTTCTGGTACCATTGCCTCGGAGACTGCTTCAAGCTATACAAAGATTTCTTTAACAAGCATACCTGGTCCCCTTTAGAACTGTAGAACCCCTCCGGTTGAGACATGTAAATCTGTTCTTCTAGATTACCATGAAGGAATGCTGTTTTTACATCAAGCTACTCCAGCTCCAGATCAAAAGCACCCACCATTGTCAAAAGAACCCGAATGGTTTTGTGTTTCACCACAGGAGAAAAGACTTCATGGTAATCGATTCCATCCTTCTGTGAAAACCCTTTTTCCACCAGTCTCGCCTTGAATCTAGCAGGTTCAACACCAGGAATTCCCTCATTTCTTTTAAAGACCCACTTGCATCCCACTGGCTTCATCCATTTTGGTAGTGCAACAAGATCCCAAGTCTTGTTCTTTTCAAGAGACTGCATCTCTTCATTCATTGCCATAATCCAGGTTTCTGCATCTTTACTCGCCACAACTTCTTTATATCTCTTTGGCTCATCAGAGCCAAGATCATCACCAACCGCCAGTGCATAAGCCATATAATTCATGTCACATGTATTGACACATCCTGCAAACCTAACTGGTTTCTGAATATTTCTCTTTCCCTTTCTTGCTGCTATGGAATCTTCAACCCTAGTACCAACGTCATCAGCTTCCCCCTCAATCGGTTTCCCTTGAGGTTTTGACTGATCTGGTTGATCGGATTGATCAATAGTATTATCCTGTTGCTCTTCCTCTAACACAACTCTGTCAAGAGTCTCAAACTCCACCCGCTGGTTAGCACCACAATCTTTTGTACCTGCAATACTTTCACAACCTATACTCTGATCAAGCATAGCAGATTCATCAAAGGTTACATCTCTGCTAATAAGAAATTTACCAGGATTTTTACCATATGTACACCACAGTCGATAACCTTTTACTCATGTTGCATACCCTAGAAATATGCATTTTACCGCCATCGGCTCTAGCTTACCATCATTCACATGAGTGTATGCAGGACATTCAAATATTCTTATATTAGAGTAATCAGAGGGTTTACCGGACCATACCTTATGAGGAGTCTTTAAGTCAATTGTAGTTGATGGAGATCTATTAACCAGATAGCTAGCAGTGCTTACTGCTTTAGCCCAGAATTGCTTAGATAAGCCAACAAATATGCGCATACACCTAGCACGCGCCATGAGGGTTTGATTCATTCGCTCTGCAACTCCATTTTGCTGTGGTGTGTGTCGTACAGTGCGGTGCCTCACTATACCTTCTTTATTGCAGAAATTATCAAATGGAGCATTGCAGAACTCCAACCCATTATCAGTTCTTAGAGTCTTGACCTGTTTACCCGTCCGTTTTTCAACCATGGTCTTCCACTCCTTGAACTTCCCAAACAACTCATCTTTAGTCTTCAGAAAGTACAACCAAACTTTTCTCGAATAATCATCTATAAAAGTGACAAAGTAAGAACACCCTCCCTGCAATTTCACCGGAGAGGGACCCATAGATCTGAATGAACATACTCCAGAATTTCTTTTGAAGTGTGATGACCGGTACTAAACCTCACCCTGCGTTGCTTCCCTTTTACACAAGCCTCACATAATTGAATTTTACCTAGCACATCCCCACCAAATAAACCTTGATTGCTCAACACAGACAGCCCTAGCTCACTCATGTGACCTAATCGACGGTGCCACAAATTTGTCCTGTCATCATGTTTATCCAAGAACTGGGATACCGCCGCCGTTCCCATCACTGAACTACCCTGTAGAAAATAAATTTCATGCTGCAGTTTTCCCTTCATCATTACCAGAGCACCTTTCAGGACTTTCACCCACTCACCTTCACCATGATATTTTAAATCATTCTTGGCTAAGGTGCCAAGAGAAATCAAATTCTTTCTGAGTTCAGGAACATACCAACAGTCAAATTTCCTGATAGTACCATCATGCAATTTTATCTGCACTATCCCGCTCCTTTTTATGGCTAGAACCCCATCATCACCAAACTTCACCGTTCCATTCCACTCCTTAAAAGAAGTGAGTAGATCACGAGAGAACGTCATATGATGAGAAGCACCGGTATCCATAATCCAGGAATCAGCAATACTAGCACTACACGCTGTCAGAACTTCACCAAAGTCTCCATCATCAGAACTGTCTTGTACCACAGCAGCACTGCTGCCACTATTACTAGAATCAACTTTTGTATTTCCCTTCTTCTGTGGACAATCCCTTTTAACGTGTCATTTCTCCTTGCAAAGATAACACTTAACTTTGCTAGAGGATTTTGATTTTGAACTTGACCTCCCATTCCCGTTACTCCTCTCTTGTGGTCTTCCCCTACCTGCAAACAGACCTGAACAAGAACCCTCTTCCAGAGAAACCTTTCTTTTCAATTCTTTGGACATAAGGGCATTTTTCACATCATTAACAGAAATTGTAGTTCTACCATATAGCATAGTATCTACAAAATTCTCATATGAACCAGGTAGTGAACACAATAAAATTAGGGTTTGATCTTCATCATCTACTTTAACCTCAACTCCTTGAAGATCAAGAATGATACGGTTAAAGGTATCAAGATGATCCTTTACCTAAGTACTTTCGGACATCCGGAGAGTGTAAAGACGTTGCTTCTAATATAGCCTGTTCGTGAGAGAGTTGATTTGGTACTTCTCACACAGTTTATTCCATAACCCAAAAGCCGTTGTCTGATCTACAACCTCCCGTAACACCTCATCAGTAACTGACAACAAGATCGCAGAATGAACCCTTGCCAAAATCTCCTTATTTACCTCCTCCTTCGTGTCTTTAGGAAACTTGTCTTCTCTCTCTAACGCAGCCGCACATCCTTGTTGAACCACAAGTGCCCTCATCTTGACCTTCCAGAGCGTGAAGTCATTCGACCCATTAAACTTCTCAAGATCAAACTTATACGAGGACATCTTCAATCAATAAGATATGGCTCTGATACCACTTGTTATGAAAAAACGAGAAAGAAAACAAATAAAGAACACAAAGATTTTACGTGGTTCGGTGACGGTGTGTCAACCTACGTCCACGGGCAGGAACCGGAGAGATTTTATTATACTGATTTAGAGATTTACAATTATGTCATCCGACTAAGAACCATAGCTGTCTATTTATAAGCACCCCAAAACACCCTAAACCCTAAGCCTATTTGTTATTAATTAGAATAAGCTCAAAAGGAACCCTGCCAATTGAAACATCCCTTTCGCTTTGGTTTCGAGTCGGGTAGACCGCTAAATCCAAGTTACGTTTCAACATATATATATATATATATGTATAGACCATATTTTTCTTTCCAATTTTTAATGTAATTTTGTCTGTCTGCTTTTGTGATTATTTTCTTTCTGCTTCCTTTAATTTTTTGTTTATTTTTCTTTTATTTTCCTTTTTTTATCTTTTTCAATTTTTTTTTTGATTTATTATATTTGTGAACACGGTTCCGTATCATTTACATTCTTACTTATCTATCTTTTATTTTTTTTGTTTTATTCTCTTTTATCTTTCTCTATTTTTTCTCCTTTTATGATTTATTATATTTGTAAACATGGTTTCGAATCATTTAGTTTCTTGTTTATATATCTTTTTTTTTTTTTTTTTTTTCTCTTTTTCTCTTTGTTAATTTTTTTTTTTTTATACTTGATTTATTATTTTTGTGAACACGATTTTGAATCATTTACCGTTCCGCATCCCATTTTTTTAAGAAAGTCCTAAAATCAATTCGATTTTTGACGGGGCGCCGAAAAATATTTTAAACGACAGCAATTCTATTATAAGATTGTTTGATATATCTTTCTTTTTGTATTCAGATACTGAAGAAAAGATTTGAGCTGCATCGATGTCTTCCTCTCTCGATCTTTCTTTCTTTCTGATAGACAAAAGAAACACAGATCGATAACAATCAATGGATTCTACACGTTTGACACGTGCCCTCTAAGTCCCAACCAATTATTTTGCTCCACGTGTAGTGGTGCGCCCACATTCAATCCACTTGGCTAATTGCGTAGGGTTCACCACTCCAGGTATGCGTACTCCCTCGCTCCTCAGTAAAAGTGCCACCTCCGCATAGCCCCGCGCCGTCGGCTCGGCTTCCGATATCTGGCTCTTGCCTGAATTAACCGCTACGGCGGCCTCGGCTCGAGCCGGATCAAATTTCTGCCCAAACAACGTACCGTTGGTCAAGTATTCGTGAGCCATACAGCCGGCTAGAAGCCGATTGGATTTAGATCCCTTAGACGGTGTCGTCGTTGCTGTTTCTTTCACAGTAACGGCGCGTCGTCTAACGGCCGTTGGAGGAGGTAGAGGTGGTTTTGATGACGTGGCGCCTTCTCTCCGTTTCTTGAATCCTCTGGCCAATTGGGAACTCATCCTGGCCGTCGGTTTTAATGCAAATCTTAATTTTTCAAAAGGTTAGTTGAATAAAACTGCAAGAAACCTGTTCAAAAATTTAAAGTAGGAAAAAAAAAGGACGAAAGTGCAATTACAAACAGTAATTTGGTAGGGATGCGATTGAAGAAGAGCGGCGGATAGAAAGCTTTTTTAGAAAGAGAACGATAAAGAGGTACAAACCGGTCTTGGATATTTTCTGTTATACGAATCGAAGGCGATCATCTAAAAATTAAAAATATATGTTTGATTTGATATTTTAAAAAAATAATAATAATTAAAATAATAAAATCATAATTAAAATTTCACAAAAAAAAACACCCATAGCTCAAAAATACTCCATATGCTTGAACTAAAAATACTTGCTCCCTCTCTCCCAATAAAGTTGTTTTATTTTTCATTTTTATTCCTCCTAAAAACAATTGTCTTGTTTCCTTATTTAATAATTATAGTCTATACTTTATAACAAAATTATTCATACTTTTTCAAATTATTTCTAATTATTACCTCATATACTTTTTAAAATCATTCAAAATGTAAGAATATTTTGTCTTTTACCTTCTATTTTATTAAAATCATTCACGTGCCACTCCCAATAAGACATCTTTTTTGTGGCGGAAGGAGTATATTTTTTTAAATATGATGCAATATTTGTTTTTTATGCGAAAATTTATATAAATAGTATTAAATAGAATAATTTGAAAATTAAGTGATATAATGAGATAAAAAAGTATATATTTATTTGAGTGATGTGATAGATAAAGTGTGGAGTAAAAAATATTACATAAAATATCGGAGAGCGTTTGAAACGAGAAAATATATAATACTCTTTGGGTTCAGTCCAAAATACCTATTTTTGTGGAAGTTTCTAAAGTAATATTTTAATATTAAAGTAGACAACTAAAAACTAATATGAAGATATTATAAAAATTTATTTTGGAGTTAATAAAAATTTAATAAAGTATCAATAATATTGATTTTGATTTGAACTTGTAAAAAAAATCTATATTGAATTTGTTTGTGTAATATTTTAGTTAAAAATATTTTATATTTTGAAGCATGAAAAATTATATTAATAATATAAAATAATAATGTTTTATATTAAATTGTTGATTTTTTAAAAAAAAATTAAATTACATATTTTATTTATTGAGAATTATGTTAAATTTTTTTAATGAAATCAACAAATCGTTTAATAATACTCTTTTCGTCCTATAACAAAGTATTCATTTGTTTTTACGTCATTCTAATTAATATTGAAAATATCCTTATATTTGTGTAGTTTTTTATACAAATGTCAATATTACTATTATAAGACACCAATAAAAGTATTTGTCATTTTCTCTTTATTTGTAATACAATTTGATATAATAATTAATATTCAAAAATCAATACGCAAAAAATAAATGGATACTTTGATATAGGACAGAGGGAGTAACAAATTTATAAATACTATAACATTACTCCTTCCGTCTCATATCTATATATCAATTTGCTTTTTGAACGGAGTTTTAGAAATATTAGTATTATATTGTGATAAAATAGATTTAAAGGTAAAAAGACTAAATTAACCCTATTAGTATTGTATGATATAAAGGTAATGACATTTGTGTAATATATTGTAAATTGGAAGGGTATTGTAATGTTAGGTAGATAGTACAATTACTAAAAAAAAAAATGGATACTTAGTTATGAGATGGACCAAAGTGAAAAAATCGATAAATTACTAAAAAAATAATATAAATTAGAAATTAAAAAAATCTGGTATTTAAAATTGACTTTCTTTCTACAGTACTTTTACTTTAGATTATTATTATTGCTATTATTATTATTATTGTCTTTTAAGATATATTTTTTTTATTACATATGAAAAATCTTATTTAAATAGTAAAAATAAAAATAATACTTCATCCGTCCTAAATAACTTGGATGTATCGCTGTAACTACTAAAATTTAGATAAAATATAATTAATAAATAATTAAAAAATATATTAGTAAAAATATTTATAGTTGTTGACCAAAATTTACAGTCGCTCTCCTGTTCAATCGACTAATGAAATTTACCAACTTCTGTTTCGTAATTTCTTGTATTCCGATCCTCCCTTTTTTTTTTCTCTTTTTGCGGCCAAGTCTAAAGAAGGCGCATGCTTGCCGTTTCAGTTCTTGTGGTTGGTTGCTTAGCAGTTTCCTCCTTCATTGGTTTTTTTTTTTTTTTTTTTTTTTACTTTAATTTTGGAACATGTTTCTTGCAGTTTTATTCAACTAACTTTTTAGAAAAAATAAAATTCCCACTGTGAGATCGACTTCTCGGCCATTGAGGATATCACCGACGTGGTGGCGCGATCGGAATTATAAAACCGACGGCCAGGATGAGTTCCCAATCGGCCAGAGGATTCAAGAAACGGAGAGAGGGCGCCACGTCATCAAAACCACCTCTACCTCCTCCAACGGCCGTTAGACGACGCGCCGTTACTGTGAACAAAACAGCGACGACGACGACGCCGTCTGAGGGATCTCAATCCAACCGGCTTCTAGCCGGCTGTATGGCTCACGAATACTTGACCAACGGTACGTTGTTTGGGCAGAAACTTGATCCGGCTCGAGCCGAGGCCGCCGTAGCGGTTAATTCAGGCGAGAGCCAGATATCGGAAGCCGAGCCGACGGCGCGGGGCTATGCGGAGGTGGCACTTTTACTGAGGAGCGAGGGAGTACGCATACCTGGAGTGGTGAACCCCACGCAATTAGCCAAGTGGATTGAATGTGGGCGCATCACGACACGTGGAGCAAAATAATTGGTTGGGGCTTAGAGGGCACGTGTCAAACGTGTAGACTCCATTGATTGTTATCGATCTGTGTTTCTTTTGTCCATCAGAAAGAAAGAAAGATCGAGAGAGGAAGACATTGATGCAGCTCAAATCTTTTCTTCAATATCTGAAAGCAAGATGTATCAAAAGCATGCATCTATGTCTTATTGACTTTCTTTCCCATCAGTCTTATGATAGAATCTATTAAAATATAATGATCGAATAAGAATGCAAAATCAGAAACATCTTACGTGAAGAATTTTCTTTTCTAGTCTTGTCGAATTAAAATGCCATTGAAATTTAAGGATCAATCAAGATCGAAAGCATCTACTACATCTTAGATGGGGACTTTCTTTCCTAATCTTGTAGAATCTATTGGGATATAAAGATCGAACAAGAAATGGGATGATAATAAAATAGTTGGAGAATAAAATTGAGTAGACTTTGATTTCTTTAATAAAAAATAACACTATCGTCGGAAGGTTGTCAAAACAAATAATCAACATGAAAAAAGTTTCACTAAATTTTACTATCTGACTTGCGAGTATATCGACTCAGCTTACCAATCATCTCATTTATTTTTCACTACTAAAATTCAATTTTAAGAATATATTAAATATTAAATTAATAATTAATTTTCTGAATTCTCAAAACATAGTTCATAATAATAATAATAATAATGATGATGATGATGATGATGATGATGATGATGATGATGATGATGATGATGATGGTCGATGAAGAGATTTATCTTTAACTGTTTGTTGTTGTATTAGTGAATTGATATGTTGTAGAGCGATGCACACCTTATTGAGATTTTTATTTGATTGCATAATTTATTGTTATGTATGTTTATTTGATTGTGAATTTAATTTGAAATTACTATTATTTATAGGGTAAGATTTTCAATAAAAATATACTTTTAAAAAAAAAAAAAAAGTTACAAAAAAAATATTATTTACAAATGTTTAAATAAATAATCATTTCAAATTACAATTGAAGAAATGTCCATTTCGTGATCAATAAATTAATTAAAGTTCGTCATATATACAAGAATTTATGATTAAGAGACTGATGATACATGCCACAAGTAATTCTCTTCCATAGAAAATCGAATTTAATTAATTAGGGCAAATTATTATTTTTAGTCTGGTAATTGAATTCATTATCATTTTAGTCTGGTAACTGAGTTGTCTTAAAATAGTTGTGAAATTTTTTTCGCACATGTAGTCATCCGACGCCGGAGATGCATACGTGCATGCCGGAGGACACGTGTTCTCCGTGTGAAATTCGTTACTTCTTCCAGGAAAGACTCTGTCGACAAGGGTGAACTCCGACTTCGAGTTTCTTCGAGAATCCATTGTTCGTCTTTGTCTTCCCCTGTCCGGATTTTTTCTCCGCCATGGGCTGCTGCCGTCTCATCTAATTACCCCGTCCCTCATTCGGGGATAGATCATCTTATTGCGCTCTTTCATGACATTGACAGACAGGTGATTTGTTTTTTTCTGTTTGTATAATTTTTTGATTGAAATAGTGAATGCACAAGTCAGAGTTGTTTATAGTTGTTTTTTTAATTTGATTGTAACACTTTGTTCGGTTCAAGTTGGAGTATCACCACTATACCATACCGGAAAACTCGTTCATTAACCAACAAACTTTGCGTTGTAGTGCTAAAGCTAAAATACTCATCACAAGCAACTAAATAGAAACTTAGATGATAAAGCGCATCGGCTTATCGTATAAATAAATAAAGTTTGAGTAAAAAACATAAGTCAGAAATTAGTTCGCAAAGTCTTAATTCTTAAAATATTAGTAGTAAATTCAAAAGTATCGTAATATATGAGATAGTTCTATTTAAATGATGTATTCATATGGCATAATCCATTGAGAGAAAATAGAAGTATCTCAACTATTAGCTTTGAATTTATTACTAATGTTTTAAAAATTAAAACTTTGTAAACTAATTTCCTTTGTGTCGAGTATTTTAGCCTTAGCTCTACAACATGAGGTTTGTTGGTTAACAAACAAACTTTTCAGTGTAGCATGGCCGTAATATTCTGATTTGAGCCGACCAGGGTGTTACAATTAAACTAAAAAACAACTAGAAACAACTCTGAATTGTGCATTTACTATTTCAAACAAGAAATTCCACAAACATAAACAACAAATCATTTGTCTATCCATGTCAGGAAAGAGCACAATAAACAACAGATTTTCGGAGAAGCTCGGTGTCGGAGTTCGCCCTCGTCAACAAAGTCTTTCCTAGAAGATGAAGTTAATGGATTTCACACTCGTTTAGGGAGGAGAAGGAAAGAGAAATAAGAATTTGAGATAACAATATTTTCTTCGAAGTGGCTTTGCCTGCACCAGGCGCGAGCAATTCCAAATCAATTTTTTGCCGTTGATTGAAGAGCCGTTGTGGAGGAAGAATTTTAAGCAACGGAAGCGAGGCCATTGAAAGAGGAAGAGAAGGATTCTAGATCTGAGTCACTGTGTGTGATCCGATGTCCCGCTATTTATAGCAAGCAGCAATTTGGCAGTTTTTCAGAAGTATCTTTAAACATAACAACAACAACAACCAACTTAAATATGAAAAAAAAAAAAAAAAAAAAAAAAAAGAAAAAAAGAAGAAAGAAAGAAAGAAAGAAGAAGAAGAAGAAAAAAGAAATAGAGAATTGGTTAACGAAATTTAAATATATTTATAGATAATTTATGTTAAATTTTAATTTTAAAATTTTGAAATTTCAAAAAATTTTGAATAGTTTTTAATTTGTTTTTATTTATTTTTTTTTGAATGTAATGAGTTTTTGATAAAGGTAATAAATTTTAATAATTGTATTTTTTATCAAAGGTAATGAGTTTTGTTACTGTAAAAACTGAAAAGGTAATGAAAAAGGTGATTGTAACAGATGTTTTAATATGATAAGTAAAAATATATTCAATTTTTTCTTAATTTGTACTATGTTTTGATATAATAATTAATATTCAAATATCAACATGGAAAAAATAAATGAGACATTAGAGCCAGACGGATGTAATATTACATGTGGGTGTGGATGTGTTTACCCGTAAGATTTGATTTTATGTTTTATTATTTTTTTTTTTTAAATAATCAAATCAAACATCTACTTTTTATTTATTATATTAAACTAAGACTATGTTTTTTTAAGGTAAGTTTGGTTGGATTGAGTTTGAATTTTAAAATGAGTTTGAATTTTTATGTTCCTTCATGTGTATAGGTTTGGTTTGGACTTGGAGTTTTGAAAAATATTTGATTTGATAATAAATAATATATATAAAAATATAAATGTATATTAAATTTAAATGGTTAAAATTAATAATTGTATTATTTAAATATAAATTTATATTATATATAATTATTTTTTATTTTAATTTATTTGTATTATAAAAAAATTTATTATCTACAAAATAACATAAATATATTTAAATTATAATTATTTTAATTATTATATACTCCCTCCGTCCCGGGATGAATCTTTTTATTAGGGATACGGTTTTTTAGATAATATAGATTAGTAAGTTATTAATAATAAGTTATGATATTAGTTTATTATTTTTTTATATGAATAATTTTATTAGTATTAAAAAATTTTAAGATTATATTTCGAAAAAATATATGCAATATGGATATCATTTTGTAGATAATAAAATTTTATAAAATACAAATAAATTAAAAAACCATAAATTAGTCTTATAAAAAATGAGGAGAGTTTTAAATATAGATAAAAAAAATTATGTTAATTGAGGAGAGATATATAAATAAAGGGGTTTTGAGCGGTCCTACGTGTAAGATGTTAGAAATTTAATTAAATTGATTTATATTTGTTATGTATGTTTAAGATTGATAAAATTACCAACGTAAAAAAAGAAAAATGAGTTCTAGAAGGAGAGAGTATTTGCTTTGATAAATACCTGAACAGCAGTGTCATATATTTTTATAAATTAATTATTTTTTTATTTTTTATTTTTTATTTTTTTTGAGAAAAAAAAAAAACACAGATAAAACTGCCGAATGCAGCGCCTGATAACATAAGGTGGCATAAGTAGGGTGCATAGGGTGGTTTTCGCCCATTTTATTGTGTACAGTAACGGCACAGTAAAAATTAGGCCAAATCTCTTTGGAGAAACAGATCTTAAAATTAAATTTTACATATATATAAATATATATTTATATCACATTAAATAATTATTTTAATTTAAAATTTTTATATTTAAAACCAAATTTCAAAATTTAAATCTCACAAATAAACACATAGTGATAAAATTTTTATTATTACGTGTTAAAATAAAAATAATAAAATTATAAATAAATATTTATTTTACCATTAATAAATTATGGATAAATTTTTATCAAATATATATATATATATTGTATAAAATCAATGTGAAATTCCCGAAAAAAATATGCAAATGAGGGGAAATTTTGGGAAAATCTTCTCTTTTTCCCTTTGCATATACCTTTGTTGAATATTGTGGAGAGATTTGGAGCACTTTTTGGCTTTTGATTTTGTCACCAAATTTATGTGTGTTTGTTTTAGGGTATTTGCAAAAGAATCCATTATTCATTCAAAATTTTTCTCATTTCAAAAGCATCAAATCATACATTTATTTTTTATTTATTTTAAAAATTAATTTTACATTCAAAACATCGTATCAATGTTATTTATATTGAATTATACAACTATTTCAATTTAAAAATTTTATTATTCAAATTTCAGTTCAAAAGTCAAACCTTCGAACAACCACAAAATCATTGTTGGCTTTTCATTTGAGTGTGACCATGAAATTAATGTTAGTTAATAACCAATCTAAAATGATTTATAGAGAATATATTATTTAATTTATATCTATTGCATAATTATCAATAAATATATTTATTTATGTTTAAGCAATTTTATATACTTTAAAATATTACCGTGTCATGAGGTCAAATTTAACAATGCTACAAATATGTATCTTAAAATCTAATATGTATTTATTTTGTATTTTTTATTCACATCATATAGTTAATATAGAAGAAAGAATATTTAATATTAATTTTTTATTTTTATTGTACATAATATGATATATATTGGATGAGTGTGCATATTTATATTTTATTAATATTTATCAAAAATTATATTAAAAGAATTGTATGAATACATAGATTTTTCTAATAGAAAAACTGTTTTAAAAAATATAATCTTAAATTATAAATATATTTTATTTTATTTTGTTATTATTATTTTTTTGTATTTAAAGCAGACTTATAGATAGGGAAAAGAAAACTTAAAAAATCTAACCAATAGTAAGCTCTTACTTCGTAATTAATTTATGCATACAAATGCATATGTATCGTATTAATGGATATGCACATGTACGTATACGAAAGATTGTTTTTCTTTTTTTTTTTTTTTTAAAAAAAAATGCAATATATAAAAGGTGGTTAAGGAGGACAAATAAGCGCGCCAAATTCGCATCCCAATTCTCTTCAGTTGCCAACAAATGAATTTTCTCCTAATCTCCTTTCTGCGTTCCTTCTCCTCTCTCTGTCTCTCTCTCTCTCTCTGTCTCTCTCTCTCTCATCATCGACCATCATCAACCTCCATCACCATCTCAGATTGCCTCCACAAACATCATGAATTCGTCCAAATTCTTGCATTCTTTTGGTAATTCTTGGTGAACCCCCAGCTGGATCCATCAACCCTAATTTTATCGATCGGAACATTTCGGTTTTTGGCAAATCCAAGTGTTGCAGCAAGTATTATTTCGAAATCTGGAGATACAAGGAAAATTAGCATTAGTTTCAATCGATCAATTAATCTGAGGAAGTTGATGATTAGGCACATAAGAGCAGTGCATTGGCGTCGTCATCCATGAAGACTATACTGATGGTTGGGACAATAAGTCGGTTTCTTGGGTGGAGAGCCAAGGTTTGTTTCAGATGGAATGGCAGATCCTGCTAGTTATGGCATTCCTGACCGTGACATTGATCAGGTACCATCACACCTCCCTACATCTCCTATCGATACCAATTTTAGCCATTCCGATCAGTGTTAATGTCTCTGTATGTAACTTTTCTTATTGATTATGGATGTTGGAATTTTCATTAGATCATACAGTGTGCTTCCATTAAGCATGTGTATTTTTCTTTGTTTTTTGAATGTTGCTTTTAATTAAGGTTAAGAAATGTTTATAGTTTTGCCCTGTTTTGTGGAAGAAGGATTTCCCGGTTAGATCAAAGAAGGGTTATATATATATGGGTTCATTTATGTGATTAAAGTATCCGATAAGAATGGCTATTTGTTCAAGTTCATGATTTGTATGAAATCCATTGTGCAATTTGATTGGTTAAGTAGTGTGGATCTGCTGTTTATGCCACTTGTTTTGTTAGGCACTCATTGCTTTGAAGAAAGGCACACAGTTGATCAAATACAGCAGAAAAGGAAAGCCTAAATTCAAAACTTTCAGACTTTCTCATGTAAGTGATGATCTCTGATTTTATATGTTGATTTATTGGATTAATATTTGCACCTTTGAAAGTAATTTTGTTCTGTTAAAATTAAATTAAAATTCTCAATTTCCATTTTAGCTTTTGCTTTTCTTAGGTTGTTCAGTGCTTTAGTAATAGTAAGAATTTTATTGTATGGGAAAGAAAGCATCATACTGATCAGTGATCACCCCCTATATCTAATAATATCTTGACAAAAATGGTTGTTTTAACCTGAAATGTTTGGCGTTTAATGGGTTTATGCTTGTGTCACAGGATGAAACATCTTTAGTTTGGAACTCGCATGGAGCAGAAAGGCAGTTGATGTTATCTTCTGTTTCACGGATTACTCCTGGACAGAGAACAGTGAGTTAACAATATTCGATTGAAATTGTATATATTTTAAAACTCATGTTCTTAAGTGAAACTACTTTGAGCAATCATGAATCAAACATATAAACTGAAACTGAATTTATGTTTTCCTATGTGCATACAGCCTGTTTTCAAAAGATACTTGCGCCCGGAGAAGGAGTACCTGTCATTTTCCTTGATATACAATGATGGGGAGAGATCTCTTGATCTGGTCTGTTTTTATTTCGACAATTATAATGGACATGACAATCTTGCATACACTTACTTCATCTCCTCTCCATTTTCTCTTTTGTAGATCTGCAAGGACAAAGCCGAAACTGAGGTCTGGCTTGCTGCCCTGAAGTCTTTAATCTCAACAGGCGGTGCTACTCGCAACAGGCGTGCCAAAAGTGAAATACCTTATGAAGTAACTTCATTGTTACCTCTTACTCCTGCATCAACATATATATATGTCTGTTTTTTTGTCATATGGTCACATTCTTTGTCCCAGATGACATTGTTGCACCCAGTTTCTTGTAGTTGTGCATTCATTATTTAACTGATTTGATATATAATAAGTTTTTGGGTTGATTAATTGATAGTTTGTCTTGATTATTGCCTGACATCGGTTTCCTTTTTGCTTGTGATGAAGCTTTTGAGAAGTGCAATAGTTGTCTAGTTGTTGAACTGTTACAAATTGAAGCTATCCATCTTTTACATAATTGATGTACCCTTTGACTTTAAAATATGCCACGATGGCATAACATCCGAAATCACGGCCATTAGATGCAACATATATATACGAACTCTTTATAATGTTTCTAGTTCTAATTGAACTTGTTTTGGTTAGTCATGTATGGTTGTGCAAGGATCTAATTAAGTTCAATAATGTTCATTTTCAGGTACAAAGTTCTGGAGATTTCTTTCAAGATATTCGCCCATCGGGAGGAACACTAGAATTCTCATCGACTGGTACCTACGGCAGACTCACTAGAGAGGCAAGTCTACGTGATATTAGCTGCCATAGTTTAAGCTCACATGTGGGGTTTGAAAGTGCAAATATGCAACCAAGAACGAGTGGTGCAGATGGATTTCGGATTAGCGTCTCAAGCACTCCTAGTTGTTCGAGTCAAGGTTCTGGACCAGACGATCTAGAATCACTCGGCGATGTTTATCTATGGGGTGAAATTTGGTGTGATGGACTGTCAACAGATGGAAATGGATTTCCAATTCCTGTAAAAGCCGATATACTAACCCCTAAACCGTTAGAAACTAATATAGTGCTCGACGTGCATCAGATTTCCTGTGGTCTTCGGCATGTTGGTCTAGTTACAAGGCAAGGTGAAGTTTTTACATGGGGAGAGGAATCTGGGGGCAGATTGGGTCATGGGAGTGAAAGGGACTATAGTCGTCCTAGACTAGTCGAATTTCTTGCTGTTACAAATATCGATTCCATTGCTTGTGGCGAGTTTCACACATGCGCGCTGTCATCATCCGGCGACTTATACACCTGGGGAGATGGTGTTCATATGGCTGGACTTCTTGGACAAGGCAATGACAATAGCCATTGGATTCCAAAGAGAATTTCTGGACCTTTAGAAGGTATTGCTGTTTTGTCGGTTGCCTGTGGCTCGTGGCATTCGGCGCTGGTGACTTCGACAGGGAAATTGTACACGTTCGGGGATGGAGTGTTTGGAGCTCTCGGCCATGGTGATCGCGAGAGCATTCTGTATCCGAAGGAGGTGCAGTCATTGAGTGGACTCAAAGTTATCTCTGTTTCCTGTGGTGTGTGGCATACTGCTGCTATTGTCGAGGTTTCAAATCAGTCTGGTACGTATGTTCCTTCTCGAAAGCTATTCACTTGGGGCGATGGCGATAAGTACAGGTTAGGACAAGGCGACAAGGCGCCGTATCTTTATCCGACCTGTGTGTCGAACATGATCGACTACAACATCCATCAGATAGCCTGTGGATATAACATGACTGCTGTCCTTACAACCTCTGGCCATGTCTTCATGATGGGAAACAATGCGTATGGCCAGCTGGGAAGTCCGCAAGCGGAGGGCAAGTCGCCTACTCTAGTACAAGAGCGATTAGTCGGGGAGTTTGTCGAGCAAATTGTCTGCGGCGCGCATCATGTCGCAGTCCTCACGTCGAGGAGCGAAGTGTACACTTGGGGACGAGGGGCGAATGGAAGATTAGGACACGGGGACACCGAAGACCGCAGTGTCCCAACGTTAGTCGAAGCTCTGAAGGACAAGGTTGTGAGGAACATCGCCTGCGGCTCGAACTACACCGCCAGTATATGCATCCATAAATGGGTTTCCGGTGCAGATCAATCCATCTGCACGGCTTGTCGGCAGGCTTTCGGTTTCACCCGAAAACGACATAACTGTTACAACTGCGGCCTGGTGCATTGCCATGCCTGCAGCTCCAAGAAGGCGCTGCGCGCCGCCCTTGCGCCGACTCCTGGGAAGCCGCACCGAGTGTGCGACTCCTGCTATCTAAAGCTTAAGAAGGCTGCAGAAATCGGACATGCCACGACTATTAGGCGAAGAGCGTCTGGCCATCGCCGATCGATGGACATGACTACTTCGAGGTTCGACAGGGGGGGTGAGGTTAGGCATTCGCGGGTGCTGCTATCGCCCACCATCGAGCCCGTCAAGTACCTCGAGATCAAGTCGGGCGGCGCAAGATCCGATAATGTTTCCATTGTCCGCGCCTCCCAAGTCCCGTCTCTGTTACAACTCAAGGATATTGCTTTCCCGAGTTCTCTCAGCGCACTTCAGTATGCTCTAAAGCCTGTTATGACGCCAGGTGGCGTGCCGCAGCCTCCCCCTCAGCCTCCGCCTCAGCTTCAACCGTTGTCGAACCCAAGGCCTGCGTCGCCTTACTCGAGACGACCGAGCCCTCCGCGCTCTGCTACCCCGGTGTTCTCTAGAGGCGTCATCGATACTTTGAAGAAGTCGAACGATCATTTGACACAAGAAATTTCTAAACTCCATGGCCAGGTATGAAACAAAATTTCGACTCGTTAACAAGTTGATCTTTGGCCTATATATATTCTCATGATCATCATCATCGTTTTCTGTTCTCAGGTCAGGAATTTGAAACAGAAAAGTGAAGCTCAGGATACAGAGATTCAGAAGTTCAAGAAGATGGCTGACGAAGCTAATGCAATGGCTGCCGATAAATCTTCCCGGTGCATTCGAGCGATGCAAGCGATCAAATCCATCACCGATCAAGTAAGCAATTCATTCGTATCCCTCTTCGATTATCTTCTTCGCTCCGATGCTTCCTAAGCTAAAGTGTCGCACCACGCCGCGACTTCTTTTTCTTTAGTTGAAGGGAATTTCTAACAAGTTGCCGCCTGAGGTGTCGAAGAGCGATGTACTGACAAACTTGTATGCTCAAGTCGAGTCTTTGCTAGACGCGACGAGCATTCAAGCGCCGGGATCATTCCCACAAGAACTTGCGAATCAGCCACAGAAATATTTCGACAAATCAGAGGCAGCCGACGCCAATAATCATAGGCCCGAATATCGTATCAATTCAGCAGTACAAGACTCATCAGAGAATGCCAACGGCACTCCTGTTTCGAGTTCAACAACTGAATCGAACTCAGAGTGGCGCCCGAGCAGCGCTCCTCAGGCTGTAAGGCTCGAGGGACGACAGGAAGTCATCGAACAATTCGAACCAGGCGTGTATGTCACGCTCATCCAACTTTCCAATGGAACCAAAATCTACAAACGAGTTAGGTTCAGGTACGTACGTATGAATGATTATCGTTTCATCTAAGAAATGTCTAAATGTCCATTGCTATGCATATCTTTTCTTTTCTTGAATATCAGCCATTGGAGTTTTTCTATTTGATTTCTGTCTCTGCAGCAAGAGAAGGTTTTCGGAGCAGCAGGCGGAAGAATGGTGGAAAGAAAACAAAGATAGACTACTGAGGAAGTATGCTCCAACGGTACCTGCTAGAATATCGACGCCGCCACCAGATGCCGCCGTTGCTCCGCCGCCGCCGTCGGCGAGTGAAGAGGGTGATGAGCAGTAAAACACGGCAGAGAATAATGAGGCAAAAGCACAGGCTTCATAGGATACACACCAACACCAACACCATTATTTTGGATGGATAAAGTGAATTAACCATAGATAGATCAGAGAAGCCACACTTTTTTTTGGTTATTTGTGTTGTTTATTTATTTCATATATAGGTAAATTAATTATTATGGTCCCATTAATGAATTCTGTACCTGTTTGTTTCTTTGTACCTGAGCTGATGCAGTTTTCGAACTCTTTTCTTTAGAGTGGGCACCTTTATATATTTATATATATATATAGAGAGAGAGGTGTGCTTGTTTTATTATAAAAATAACGAGTGTAGGTAATATATTAATTTATTATTATTATTATTATTATTATTATTTTTTTTTTTTTTTGGGAGAAGAATGTGTTTCTTGAAATTGGTAGAAGAATACACCTGTTATATTCAAATCCAACCAAACCAATATTCAAAATCACAAAATTTTCGGTTACTCGAATCTTTTGTTAATAAAAAATATTAGCAGCATTTGCCAATAATTTGAATCAAATCGAATTAAAAAATGAATATATTAAAAAATAATTAAAATTTCAATTAACTGAAAAAATTTACAAATATTTCAAATCAAACCCAAATTAATCTTAAAATAAATATATACAACAAACAACTAAAAATACTCAAAACATATGCAAAGTATCAAATGTTAAAACATAATGCCATTAAAAAAAGTTATTCATAAAAAAAAAAAAAAAGACACATGCTTATCCCTAATACACATGCATAATTCAAAATATACATTCAATTATTTCAAAATGAAGTTATGAATCCGATAAGAAAAAAATGAAGTTATGAAGGCATAAGCACATGCATATTCAAATTGAAATTCATGCATCCATCCCTGCAAATCTATTATGGGCTTAAAAAAATATATCTGTAAGTCACCAAATTATTTAAAGAAAACATTCATAATTCCATAATGCCAATTTTTTTTTTTTTTTTTTTTAAAATAGTTTTGCATCTATCTTCCAATTCTGTCAAATCAATTTATAAAATTAATAAAATTATATAAACTATAATTCAACACAATAATCAATATCCATCTACAAATAAATATTTGTTAAAAAAAAAAAACTTACCATGAATTATTTGGTTACTTTGATGTAGTTACTTTGATGTTATTCTTTAAAAGCTAAGATATCTATTTTCCATACTTCAAAAAAAAAAAAAAAGTCAAAAAAAAAAGATAAAAATATAGTATTAATTACAATTAAATTAAATTATATTGTATAATAGAATACACATACATGCTACAACAATAATAGACAAAGATGACATTAGTATATGTAACATTAGTATATAATTTAGAATAATACTTTCTTTTATTTTTTAAAATCATTAATCTTTTGAATCCAATCATGTGTATACATACGGGTGCTTCAACCAACTTCGGTATAAAAGAACTCTATAAGTGATCTATAACAGATCATTTGGTACTAAAAGTAAGGGTATGTTTCTTTTGATAGTTTTGGTTTAGAGAAACACAGAATCAAAATAATAAAATTTAAAAAATTTGGGGTAAAGGAACATACCTTAAATTTTGGTGTAAAAGAACTTTTTTTGTAATTTTTTTTTCTAAAGATCATCAATTTGGGTAAAATATACTACAGTATAAAGCTAGCTTGGCTAAATGAATCTATTTCAATATTAAATATTGAAATCGAATTGTATTCATCAATGTTGTGAATTTATTCCTTAATCTTTTGAATTTATCAAACAATAAATCGTAAACAAAATTTATGACAATGAGTTGGCGGAAGTGAATTATCGAATAAATCCATATTAATATTATACCAAAATCGAAATGAAATTAACACATATTAATAAAAGATATATTCAAGGCATAATTTGGAATCCTAAAATTGAGAAAAAACCGAACAAGCACGCATAGAACTCAATTAAAGGAGATAAAAATGAAATGGGAATTGAATACTTCCTCTTCGGTCTTAAAATTCCCACCCCCGTGACGAAATCGACGCAGCCGACGACCGGCTGGCGCACAGCAGCATCTGCGGTCGGACTTCTAGCGGCGGTCGGTGGCTCTGCTCCTCCAAGCGCGGCAGTGACGTGCGGCGGCGACTTCAGGTTTCCTCCGATGAACAACCACGATGTCTGCAGCTCCTTTTCTGGTGACTTCCGAATCAACGACTCCTCTGGGCAATCGGCGACGGGCAGCGGCATCCTCCCACATCAACCAGATCGACCACGGCTGTCTTCCGATTTAGCAGCGCAGTGACGAACCGCGAAACAGGTTTCTTCCACGGCTTGTCTTCTCCAACAAAGCAGTCGACAATTCCTCCTTCCTTCTATCGCTCTTTCACCAAGGGCAAGGGATGACGATTTTTGGCTCAGTTCATAGTGTGAGAATTGTCCAAGGTATCACGCAACATGGTGAAGGTCGGCTCCTTACTCTAAGCTTCGACACCCACCGGAATCAACCATTGGAAAGGAATTCTAAACACACCGGAGAACTCAGCGGAAACACTCTTTCCCTCTGCTGCTCTCCCAGTCACTCTCTAGGTTGGATTTTCTCCCTCATAGTTCGGTTTTACTTGTCTCTTCTAACCGACTCACATCAAAATCCATCTCTAATATAAACCTAATAACTACCCCAAAACTAACCAAATTGATTGGGCTTAGGGTTAAAGGTTTGGGCTTGGATTTGGATATTGGATTAAAGGATTGGGCCGAACCAGTGGATCGGACTATGGAGTGGGCCAATTAATTTTATTTTCGAAGGTATCATTGGATTAAGTCTTGAACGGCCAAAATTCCCAACAATCAAACATTATTTTCAAAAATCATGAACTGATTGAAGCAATGTTTTTGTTTCACTTTTTTCATACACACGATTGACAATAAAATTCATCAAACACATTTTATAGTGAGAATCAAGAATGGTTGCAGGATAAATAATTTGATTGACACTTTTCCAATCCCCCAATACTTTAAAAACTTCATAGACATCTTGGAAACTATTGATCTAACCATAAATCTAGATCTTCTACTATTGATTGAATATTATATACAATACGAAAAATTTATTTTATGTATAAATTTCGGTTGCATACTTGGATCCCGAGATTTTTGCAAGTGTATCATAGAAGTACTTTAAAAAAGAAATAAATCCACGTGCATATGACCAATTATTTTTTGTGGGTGGCACTTAGTCATTTATTTCAAATTCTTCATTATATGTTTTAATTTCACATTCTAACAAATCAAATACATCTCTTACTCTTAAGGTGGAATTTAACATTTTATATGTTGAATTCCATCTCGTATCAACATCCAAATAAGCAATAAAATTTGTATTCAATAATTATTTTTCTATCAACTTTTGGAATATTTGTATTCGGTTAGAAGAAAACATTACATGAAGAATAGAATGTCAAATTCTTTCTATTGAACCTTTTATTTAATTCAATTCATCGTGAACAATGAAATTCAAAATATACATACCATATCTCATATGTAAGAAGAGCTTTTCATCTAAAGCCACTCATTGCTTTTTCAATCTATCTTTTAGATATCTCAAACAAATATCGTTCATACTTGCATTATCAATCGTTATAGCAAAAATATTTTTAATCTTCCATGCCACCAAACAATCTTTTTTTTTTTTTTTTTTTCAATTGCATACCCCGAGTGAGTAAGAATTAAAGAGAAATTCAATTTCTTTTCTTTTCTTTTCTTTTTTTTTTTTTTTTTTGTGCAGATTCCAATCATCATCAATAAAAATTCACATTTAATGACATAGTTCATATGTTGACAAGATGCCCAAATATTTGTTGTGAGACAAATACTACTATTGTAATTCCTTAAAAAGAAACTTTCCAACTTCTACCCTTATCCAATATGTCCTTAACAAGTGTTCTTCATAGTGGAATTGCTAATCGAGTTTGAATGACACCCATCGCAATCACGATATTTTTCTGATTTTGCCATTCTAAATGACATCTCATCAGCAACAATCTATTTTGCAAGAGATTTATAGTATTCTTGTTGATCAATGTCAAAAAAAATTAACAGCAGTAAATTCATTCATTTTCTTTTTGGGTTGATAATGCAATGCATTGTTATTTGTTTCAATTTTAAGCCATACGTTCTTCATTTTTAATCTAATTCATAATTGTCTTACACATTTTCAAATGATTCAATATAACACTAGTAGTTTTAATTTAGATTTGTATATAAATAATAACTTTGTAGAAACTGAGATATGAAAACTAGGAAATTCATATTTCTAGGGAGAGCCAAGGATGATAACGACAGTGATTTAAAAAGTTGAAGAAGACGACGATGATTTCAAGTTCAACTGTGGTTGCATCAACATCAATGTGTCCTGTGTGTGCATAAGGCATGATGAAGTTTAGGGAGGCAGGATGAAGTTTAGGGATTGAAAATGAGAATCAATTTTAAGATACTAGGTCCGGATGGGTTGGGTTTGATTTGAATCACAAAGTCTATATAATAGGTAGTGGTCATCCATTTGCCCATTTTGTATTTTTATGCCCAACAGTGGCTGCCTAAACATCAATAATTTATACAATTAGTAATATAAATTTTTTAAAAAATAAAAATATATTCAGCTCAAGTTGGTTAATTAAAAAAAATATTAAAATATGAAATCGAACCTAAACAAACAATCATATATGTGGTATTTATATTTGAACTGAATTTACTTGTTTAACAAAAAATTAAATTTGGTTTGGGTTTCTTTCCCACCCCTACTTTTCTCCATCCCTTGCGATTGCTCTGTATATATGTATGTTGTGTTTTTGAAAGTATAAGGGGGCGTCATGCAATTTTTTAAGTAAAGTGGGGATTTACGCTGAGTTTTGAAACTATAGAGAGGGATTTCATGCAATATTTTTTAAAGTATATGGGGGCGCTATGTAATTTTTAAAGTAAAAGGGAATTTACGCTGAGCTTCGAAATCATAAGGGAGTTATAGATAATTTTGCCAATATAATACTCCCTCTATCCCGGCAAAGATGATTCATTTGGTTATGGACACAGTATTTTAGGTAGTTTAAATTTGTAAGTTATTAATAATAAGTTATGATATTATTTTATTATTTTTTCTATGAGTAGTTTTTTTTGGTATTTTTAAT